AACTTTGTCTTTATTAGCTTTTGCCTCCTGTGGTTGGACATCAAACTGTCCTTTGACGTTCTTTGTGACGCCGTCGCGGCCTTTCAGCTCCTCTGCTGCTGTAGTGACGCTTGAACGCATGGAGCTGCTGCCAGAGGACAGAAGGCTGCTCACACACATGACGGACTTCAACTGAGAAGTCATGGAGAAGTTTGCAGAGCAGAAAGAGAGAAGAGCCACAGTTTGAAACAGCTCCAGACTGGTGGCTTGTTTTAGAGGATGAGAGCTGCTGAGCCTGATGACCGTGGAGCTGTATGAGTGTCTCTGTAACCGGCACAGGAAGCTGCTGTTAACCTCACAGGTGGAAACTACAACTTTTACTGCAGCATTGACGCCTAAAAATGAGGCGTTCTCATGAAACACAGAGCGCACCTGCATCACTGTTCATCTGCTCAGAGAGAAGAGCGAGTGTAGAATTCATGTAACCCGGTTTAACCTCAGACAAATTAGAACGTCCTAGTTTATTGTTTTTAACGTCAGTTCTGGTCACACACCTGTCAGAGCACCACAGAGACCAACAGCAGCTCCCAGTCTGCTGTGTGGGGCGTTCAGGGAACATCAGTGAATCATAGAGTCCATCAATACATAAATGTTCTGCCTTTGACCAGGTGGGAGGTGCAACAAAATGAGAAAGTGGGTCGTACTGGTGCTACCAGTGATAGAGTTAGTGTGGAGCCCTGAATGGTGTGTTGGTTTTATATAAATAATTTAAATTATTTATGTGTTTTGTGTTTGTTCAGATCCTGTAAATATTGATAAAAGTTTGATGAATGGTTTAGAAATGTAGTTCTGGTCAGACTTAATAATGTTAAATTAGATTATGACGAGAATATCCTCCAAAGATAGAACATGTGGAAAATAGTTGTGCCTGATGTTCATATTCTCATTTCTGATTTAAAGTTAAAGGTCATTTCACCAGCCGCCACTGATTATGGAGCCAATTAAATTAAATTACCTCCACTTGAACTTTTGCAGAAATTTGACTTTAAATCACACACAGTGTTTAGCTGATTTAATATTATTATGTCATAAAAATAATGTTTCTGCTCAGAAACAACAAAAGATAATCTATATTTTTGAGTTGTGACAACTTTTATTGAAAACTTCAACTAACAAACTACACTGAAGTAAACATTTGCTTTTTTTTTCTATATTTAAAGGTATCATAGCACTTATTACTTTTAGTTGTAAGTTTTTAAGTTTATTACTTATTAAATGTTGTTTTAATTAGCATTTTCACATTATTTACGACTATTTTTTGAAGTTTGCGTATATAATTATCATAAATATGATCATAAGTTGGCATATTTTTTGAAAAATTAAGTTTCTAAAATTCAAGAAGACTTAAAATCCTGAAAGAAAAATTCAGTTATTGAGCCAATTAAATTAAATTACCTCAACCAGAGCTGAGTTTTAATTGAACTAATGCAGAAATTTGAGTTTAAATTACACACAGTGTTAAGTTGATTTAATATTATTACATCATCAAAATAATGTTCCCGCTTAAAAACAACAAAAAATAAATATCTTTGAGTTAAGATAACTTTTAATTAAATTACATGCAACAATCTACACTGAAGTAACTGCCATTTAAATGCTGTTTTATGTGGAATTTTCACATTATTTACGATTACTTTTTGAAGTTTTGTGTCTGTAGTTATCACAAATATGAACATAAGTTGGCATTTTTTAAAAAAAAGTTTCTAAAATTCAAGAGGACTTGAAATCCTAAATTGAAAGTGAAGAAAAATGTAATTATCAAACCAATTTAATTAAATGAAAGTTCAAATTACCCACAATGTTAAGTTGATTCAACGTTATGTCATAAATATAATGTTTGGAACTTTAAGGGTTTTAAATAAATTTGCAAATTTGACTTTTTTTGTCGAGCAACCTGCTTTAATTACTTTTTAGAACGTGGTCGCTGCTTTTTAACAGTTCAGATCATAATGAGATGACAGAAGGTGTCAGAATTTCAGGACATATTTCTGTTTTTTCTTGATATTTTAATGATGATACTTTGCTATAAATCTGTTGATGCCCATAAACCCATCCTGGATTTCTTCTATTTCTTTCTGATCCCTTGTATAAATATTCTTGTTCATTAAATCTCTGATGCAGCTGAAGCTTTCTGATCCTCACTGAACCCTGTTGGCTTCCAAGGAACCTAAAAACAAACACGCGGATACATGTGGAGCCTCGGTGCAGCGATGGTAATACTTGTATTTGTGGTTTTAAATAAGTCACGAGGGCTTTTTGTTACCAAACTAAACTTTATTTTGCAGCAAAAATGAATGAATCCAGATCCGGAGCAGAGCAGGAACACAGAGCAGATTCTGGTTACAATAATAAGCACTGAACGTCTTGTTTTTGGCATCTGCACACTCATGACATTCAAGACTTTTAATCTCATCATGAATGAATCAAGAAATACTGTAAACGTGAACTTTTCCTACATATTCACAGATGGACTTTTTTTTTTCTTTTTTGTTGTGTTAAGCAATGAATTTTGCGCAGCCAGACACTCTGAGGAGCAAAGGGAAGGAAATGGTGAATATAACCACAAACCTGACAATTACGCATGCGTAAAGATGGACTTAAACGCCCCTTTTTGTCGCTTATAGTCAACGTGAAATCATTGGACTAAAGTGCTGGTTCTCGGGATGAAACCAGTTTATTTATTTTTAACAAAAGTCCGATTGCAGTTTGCTCTGGTTGTATTTTTTCAGGCAAGTTAAGTGAATTAGACGGTTTATTGTTTGGCTGCTTGGATACAACATTTACAAGACAGACATTACTGGAAGCATGAAAGTGATCAAATCACTGAAGTAAAGAACAAAAAGCCAGCAGACAGTTAGTGTAAAAAAAAGAAAAAAAAAACACGCTTTAACCTGTTTTGAGAAACAAAGTTTAAATTTTTTTTTTAAAAAAGGTGAATACAGCCACAAACCTGACAATTACGCATGCGTAAAGATGGATTAAAACGTCCCACTTGTTGCTCGTTCTCACTGTGAGATGAAACCAGTGTGGTTTTTTATTTTTTTTTCCCACTTGCAGTAAAAGTCCAAATATCGTTTCCTCTGGAGAATCACAATATTTTCTTTTCAGGCAAATTAAGCGGATTATTACAGACTGTTTTTCGTTTGGCTTCTTACATCTGAAAGTTTTTGCCGAGGAGATTGATTTCGTCACTCAAAAAAAAAAAAAAACATTTTGAGGCGCAAACAAAAAGTGGTGAATGTAACCACAAACCCGACAATTACGCATGCGTAAAGATGGGTTTAACCGCCTCCCTTGTTGCTCACAGTCACTGAAAAGAGTGGAATAAAGTCCTGGTGCTCAGGATGAAACCAGTGGCTTGTTTTGTTTTTACATTTTTAACAGAAGTCTAAATTCAGTTTCCTCTGAAGAATCATCTTGTTTTATTTATTTTTTTCTGGTAAATCTAGTCTGGTAATTGATTAGATGTTTAGTATTTACAAAAGACACAATTACTGAAGTAAATAAAAAGATCCAGGCAGCAGACAGTGAAAGCGTTTAACCTGTTTTGAGGAGAAAAGGGAAAAATGGTGAATACAACCACAAACCTGACAATTACGCATGCGTAAAGCTGGACCTAAACGCCCCCCGCTGCTCTTATTCACTGTCTGAATTGTAGATGATGAAGATGGCAGAGATCCTGAAAACAGCCAACAAACACAGAGTCTCATAAAAAGCTAATGAGAGACTTTTACGCATCGGCGCGTAAAACCCGTGAAAGTCTCATTTAAAATGCAGCACTTTGTCCGGGCAGGTGAGCGACAGGTAGGAGCAGAACGGGAATCCCATCTGGTAGAGCTGATGCTGCCGAGCACCGAGAACCACGGAGGAGCTGAACCCCGGACTCTGTGCCTCCGCTGACAGACCGAGGACGCTGCTGCGCATTTCGTCTTCGCTCCTGGATAAGATGCTCTCGATGCTGAACGCTTTGGATTTATCCCGGCTCGGAACGTTTCCTTTCGGCCTGTCCTGCGCAGGTGCGACCAGGTTTGTGTTTCCTGCGCAGCTGACGGCGCAGAGCGGACCTCTGTCCCTCCCGGTGAACGCGGACCGTCTCTCCTCCGGCTCCCGGTGGACGGACGCTCCGGGCAGATGCGCACCGTCCAGCCACAGTGGAGGGTGCCTCGGAGCGGCACAGGGCTCCGGCTGCGAGGCCTCTGGCCTCCTCCCGGCGGACGCAGCAGTGTCCTGGCTGGGGAAAACCTTCAGCCTCTGCGTGGGAGGATTCTGCGGTTGCTCCAGCTGGTTAAACTCCACTAGAACAGGTTTGGTGTCCGGCTGAGTCTTCGCGTCCTCCACAGCTGGAGCCTCTGAGATCCTGGAACCCGTCTGAGGCTTCCCGGAGGAGTGAGGGTCCCTGGGCGGCCCCGGGCCCTTCATGCGCTTGTGTCCGGCGGCTTTAGAGTCCAGAGCCTCCTGCTGGCTCTTCGCCTTCCTCTTCCTGCGGCGGTAGTTGCCGTTTTCAAACATGTCCAGACACTTGGTGTCCAGCGTCCAGTAGCTGCCTTTGCCCGGGCGGCCCTTCTCTCGGGGCACCTTGATGAAGCAGTCGTTCAGGGACAAGTTGTGCCGGATGGAGTTCTGCCAGCCCTGCTTGTTGTCGTGGTAGAAGGGGAACCGGTCCATGATGAACTGGTAGATGCCGCTGAGCGTGGCGCGCTGCTCCGGTGCGCTCTTGATGGCCATGGCGATGAGCGCGATGTAGCTGTACGGAGGCTTCTGCGGAGGCTCCTGACGGGCCGGGACGAAGCTCAGGGCGGCGGGCACCACGCCTCCGCTGTCCCCTCCGTACAGGTAGATGAGCGGGGGTCCGGAGAGGCTCAGCGCCGAGGATGCCACTCCGAGAGCCGGCAGGCGGCCGTGGTAGAGAGTCATGACGCCGGGGAAGCTGCGCTGTGTCCCGGGGAAGGCTGCGGCTGCTCCCGGAGCTCCTCTCCTCCGCTGACTGATCCCGCAGCCTCATGAGGGCCCCAGAAAAATGTTAATAATTGTTGTACGTTTGCTGTGTTATGTTGACTTTGCACTGGGAAATAAATTGTCCATCATAAACAGTGTTCGCTGTTCTCAGCCCACCCACATTAATTAAAATTTCATTGCGCTCAGACTCCCTCGCGCTCCCCTCCTCCGGCCCGCAGCCAATCAGGCTCCGTCTTATTCCCTCATCTGTTTATAGAATTAGTCGCTTGATAAGTCTGCCCACCCAGGTCGAATCAAGCTGTGTTTATTTGGAAAAATTTCCGGGCAGCCAATACATAAACGCTGTGATGTGCTGTTTGAAATATCGCGTCCACCGCTGACGCTCACACAGAGAGAACAAGCAAACATGTCCGCGGCAGCGCCTCCAAACACAGACGAGAAGTTGTGCGTTCAGTCCTGCTGCTGCTGCTGCTGCTGCTGCACGGACACACAACCACACAACCCGCGGACCGACGACCACCACCACCATCATCATCATTATTATTATTATTATTATTATTATTATTATTATTAGTTTACACACTAAAAAGTTCACACGTCTGAATTTTCACGTTTTTAAAAATTGTTCTTTAATTGAAAGTCTTCCAGAAATAATCCAAAGTAAAATAATAAATATTCTAACATATAGATAATATATAAACATTTGAAGCAGAAGATTTTGTGTCTCTTTCTGGTCATTTTGTGTGTCTGTTGTCATTTTGTGTTTCTTGATGTTCATCTTGTTCATTTGTGTCTGTTTGTGTCTCTTTTTGCCATTTTGTGTCTGTTTGTGTTCACTTTGTGTCTCTCTGCGGTCACTTTGTGGTAATTTTGAGTCTCTTTGTGATCATTTTGTGTGTCTGTGTCGTCATTTTGTGTTTCTTGATGTTCATCTTGTGCCCTGTTGTTGTTGATTTATGTCTTTTCATTTCTTTGTGGTCACTTTTTGTCTCTTTTTGTCATTTTGGGTCTTTTTTTTGTTCACTTTGTGTCTTTTTTTGTTTATTTTGTATCTCTTTGTGTTCACTTTGTGTCTCTTTGCATTAATTTTTTGTCTCTTTGTGGTCGTTTTGTGTTGTATTTTTTTTTTCTCATGGTCATTTTGTGTCACTGTGTGGCCACTTTGCAATAATTTTGTGTCTCTTTTTGCCATTTTGTGTCTCTTTGTGTTCACTTTGCAGTCATTTTGTGTCTCTTTTTGCCATTTTATGTCTCTTTATGTTCACTTTGTGTCTGTTTGTGGTTGTTTTGTGTCTCTGTGTTCACTTTGTGTCTCTGTGATAATTTTGTGTCACTGTGTGGTCACTTTGCAGTCATTTTGTGTCTCTTTGTGTTCACTTTGTGTGTCTTTGTGGTCATTTTGTTGTTTTTTCATGATCACTTTGCATCTCTTTTGTAATTGTGTTGCTCCCTGTGATTATTGTGTGTCTCTTTGGAACCACTTTTCTCCTTTTTGTGGCCACTCTGTGTTCATTTGTGGTCTTTTTGTGTCTCTTTGCGGTCACTTTGTCACTCTTTGTCGTTCTTTTGTGCGTCTTGCTGTGACATAAGTGGTATTTGTGGCGTCTGATCCGGGCCTCCAGACACTTTGGTCCTGACTCACCAGCAGCTGAAACTTTAACTTCTGCTCATCGGCTAAAGTTTTGAGTGATTTCAGAGGAAAATGAAGAACGTTGTGTAAATCTGTGCAGCTTTCTGGTTAATATTCGGTTTGAAATCATTCTGGCTGAGCATGAAAGCAGTGAAACAAATGAGGGGAGCACTTTTAATTGCTGCAGCTCGACTGTATTTCCTTACAAGGACAACACGGACTGTGTATTATTTGTAGATGTGAGCATGATGCTTTATATTCCCTATTTTCCTGTTTATAGGTCAGAGGAGGATTATAACAACTTTACAAGTGCACACAGCTGGCTGCTGCTTACATTAGAGGACGGCAGCTTTCTGAGGATAAACTCACAACTCGCTCTTTTCTGTTTCTCTCTGAGCAGACGGTGATTCATTAGCAAATTAAACTAAACCAACAGGCAAGTCCGGGGCGAGCTCAGGAGCTTCAGAGGAAATTCTTTCTGTCCGATCTGCAGAAAACACGTTTAATTACGGATATTAATGCGTTTATTTACGAGCAGCTGCAGCAGACAGATGAGCTGTGATGTTTGTAAGTTACAAGTGTTGTTACCCACTTATCTGCTGCTCCAGTTCACTAAAACTGGACTCAGTCAAAAGTTCAGGAGCCTGAAGTCGCCGAAAAGGAGCAATAATTCACTAAACAGGAGTTTTAATTCATTCAACAGGAGTTTGAATTAACCAGCCTGGAGTTTAAATTCACCAAACTGGAGTTTATATTCATCAAGAGCTATAAATCACTACAAAAGGAGCAATAATTCATTAAACTGGAGTTTAATCCAACAAACAGTAGTTCTAACTCACCAAGCAGGAGCTTAAATTTATCAAACTGAAGTTTAAATTCACCAAACTGGAGTTTAAATTCACTGAACTTGAGTTTAATTTGTTAAACTGGAGTTTTAATTCACCAAACTTGAGTTTAAATTTAGGAAGCTGGACCTTTTATTCACAAAAAGTACTTTTATTCATTAAACAGGAGTTTAAATTCACCAAACTTGAGTTTTAATTTGTTAAACTGGATTTTAAATTCACTAAACTTGAGTTTAAATTTAGCAAACTGGACCTTTAATTCCCCAAGAAGTAGTTTTATTAATTAAACAGGAGTTTTAATTCACAAACTGGAATTTTAATTCATCAAACTACTTTTAATTCATCAAACTGGGGATGTAATTAATTAAACTGGAGTTTAATTCACCAAACATGCTTTAATTATTTATTATGTGGCTGTTTTGTGTCGTTCTTCAGTCATTTTCTTTCTATTTGCTGTAGTTTCGTATTAATTTTTGTTCATTTTGTGTCTTTAATTCACTCAACAAGTTCTTTTAATTCACAAATTGTTTCTTTTTCTTCTTATTTTGTCGCTTTCTGGTCATTTTAAGTCTTTGTGATCATTTTGAATCTGTTTGTTGTAGTTTTTTCATTTTCTTTGTCTCATTTTCTCTGTTTGTTTTTGCATGTCGTTGTTTTGTACTCGTACATGTGTGATGAAAATAAAGTTGAATCTAATCTTTTGTGTCTCTTGCGGCCTTGTTGTGCGTCTTTACAGTCATTTTGTGTTCGTTTGTTGTAGTTTTGTGTCTCTTTGGAGGTGTTTTTCAGCTATTTGTGTTAATTTTCCTTTTTGTTGGTCGTTCTGATTATTTCACTTTTCTGTTGGTTTGTGTGTCTTTAAAGTCATTTTGAGTCTTTTTTTGTGGTTCTTTATAATCATTGTGTTTGTTTTGTGTCTCTTTGTCGTCACCTTCTGTTTGTTCAACGTGCTTTTGTAACTATTTGTGTTGATTTCGTGTTTTGTTTTTTTCCCTTTTCTGCGTCTTTGTGTTTATGTGCAGTGGTTTTCTGTGGATTTGTGTTTATTTTGTGTCTCTTTTTAGTAATTTGGGTCTTTTTGAGGCTGTTTAAACTATTGGTTTCGTTGGTTTTGTGTTTGTTTGTGTCATTTTTTGCCTGTTTGTTGTGGTTTTGCATTTACATTTGTTTTCATTGTCCGTCTCTTTGCAAGCATTTGTGTTCATTGTTGTTTGTTTTGCATTTCTATGATTATTTTCTGTGATGTTTGCATCATTTTGACTGTTTTTGTGGTTGTTTTGTGTCTTTTTTAAGTGACTTCTTTGTCTTTTTGGTCGTTGTGAGTGTATTTGCGGTCATTCTGCATCTCCGAGTGGCTTCATTGTGTACATTTGTGTTACATCTGCAGTCAGTTTTCATCTATTTGTGTTCATTTTGTGAGTCTTTTTACTAATTTTTACTCTTTCTGGTAAATTTGCAACCGTTCCTCCTCTCAGATTTGACATTTCGCTTCTCTTTGGGGTTGTTTTGTGTTACTTTCTGGGTAAATTTGCAACCGTTCCTCCTCTCAGATTTGACATTTCGCTTCTCTTTGGGGTTGTTTTGTGTTACTTTCTGGTCACTGTGCGTCCAGTTGTGCTTCTTTTGTGACTCTTAACAGACATTTTGCATCTATTTGTGTTCATTTTGCTCTTTTTGTTGGTCAGTTTGCATCTCTTTCTCTTCATTTCGGCTGTTTTAAGTCTTTATTTCGCGTCTCTTTGCGGCCGTGTTGCGTGTCTTTACAGTCGTCTTCTATTTGTTTGCAGTTATGTGTGTGTTGGTGGTTGTTTGTGTAACTTTATCATCATTTTGAGTCTTTTTTGTTGTTGGTTTGCATTCCTCTCTGATCATTTTGATTTTCTTTGTTCCTGTTTTGTCGCTTTATGTTGTTTCTACACTTATTTCGTGTCTTTCTGGTCGTTCTGGGTCTCTCTGCTTGTATCCGGCCTCCACCTTTTCTTTGTTTGCTCGTGTTTTGTGTCGGTCCGGTCGTGCTTGTGTGTGTCTGTCATTATTTTACAGCTGTTTGCAGAAGTCGTGTTGTTGTTTAGTCTCTTTGTGGTGGCTGGACTTCACAGCGTGGCATCTCTGGGTCTGTGTTCGGTGTGGAAACGACACCACATCCGATTGGTTTCACACTTCAGCCTGACGTAACCAGTTTCCACCGTTCGACCCGATAAAAAGCTTTTCCTTCTTTTCGTTCCTGTAAAGTTTATTCTGAAATCTAGCAGATCCAGACGTCTTTTAAGACAGAAAATACTCAGTGATGCATAAAAAAATTTAAGTCTGATTTGAAAATGATGCTTCTGACCTGCTGAAGCCCTGAATGTTCACATGATGTTTCTGATTTCAAACTTTTCCAAACCAGACGTCTGCAGAAACAAGTTTTCTGATGGAGACAAAAACAACATGAGAATAACTTGGATGCACCAGTTTCAGCCTCTTTGTTCAGGTTTTATTTTATATTTCTGGTCTTAAACGACAGCAATGTGTGTGTTTACTGACACCTGCTGGACAAACAGGGAACTGCTTCTCTTTTATTCCTGTAAATGTTCACTTTTAGTTGTCGTTTTTAGTGTCTCGTGCTGCTTGTTTGACTCCCTTTGTGCTGCTTTTGTGGCTCTTTGCAGCCCAGATTCCCTGATCGTATGAAGTTTGCATCAAAACAATCCGACGTTGCTCAAACAAACTCGTATAAATCACCGAATTCTGGGCAGAAAAACGTGGGATTTCCAAATCTGAATCATTCTAATCCAAATTTTAACTTTTGAATTTGGAGTTTTCAGGTTTCAGGAGCCAGATGTTGATGCAGCTTTAATGTTTTTTCTCTTTGAGTTTAATAATCGAACCTTAAATTGAGCAGCGACGGCACACGAAACACAGGAAGGAGGATTTCAGTTCACGTTACAAAACACAGGAGCTCGTTTTTCTGTTTGCTTTGTTTAAGCTGAACAATATTTTTTTTCATAAACTCAAAGACAGAAGTTAAAGGTAGCAAACTGCTGTAAACACTTTTTTCCAACATGACAGCACAGAACACTTAGTCTGCTCATTAGATTTTTATTTTCTCTTCAATCGATTGTTTTATTGTAAATTTACTAAACTACAGAAAACAATATTTGTTTTGTTTTTGTCACAGGACTCCAGAGATATTCACTTTACCGTCATGTTCACCACAGAAAAGCAGCAAATCTTCACATCTGAGGAGTCACAACATCAGATATTTGACTTTTTTTTCTTCGGTTTTAGCTGCTGATGGATCTTCTGTTGACTGAATAATCAATGAATCGATGAAACACTGCAGCTCTGTCACATTTCTCATCAATAATTCATTAGTTTGTCTGCAAAACGCCACCAAAAGCCAGTTAGAACTTCTTTTTTGTAGAGAAAAATCCAAACACATTCACTGAAGCGTCACAAAAAAAAAAGCATCAAATCCTCATTTTTAAAATCTGAAACCATCAAATGTTGAATATTTTTACTTTGGTTGCTTATAAATTTTTTGTCACTAATTAATCAACGAAACACAGAAGCTCTGGTAGATTTCCATGAAATGATTCATCGTTTTGGGGGGAAAACTTTAACTTTGCATCAGGTTCGACAAAGAAACCTTGAAATGTTTGTATATGAGGAGTCAGAACATTAAATATTTGACATGTTTGCTCAAGTTTTAGCTGCTGATGAGTTTTCTGTCAGTCAACTAATCGATTAATCGACAAAACACAGCAGCTCTGTTCGATTCCCATTGAATGAAGCATCATTTTGTGGGAAAAACATCACGTCTTGTTCAGTTTTGCATCACGTGTGACAGAGAAAAGCATCAAATCTTCACATCTGAGGAGTCAAAACATCGAGTGTTTGACATTTTTGCATCAGTTTTAGCTGCTGATGAATTTTCTGTTCGACTAATTCATTAATCAAGAAAACACGCAGCTCTGTTTCCGTTAAATAATTCATCATTTTGTGTGAAAAACACCGCGTACGTCTTGTTTTGTCCAAAAAATCCAGATATTCACTTTGCTTTCATGTGCGACGAACAAAAACGTCACATCTTCGTGTCTGAAGGCGTCACAACAGCAAATATTTAACTTTTTAGGTCCAAACCCAACAGAACGGTTGCAGATGAAACGTTAACGTCCAACAAGCTGAACCCAAAAACCGAGCGGCTCAACCAGAACCTGCTCAGACGACGTCCTGAGTTTGGTCCGTCTGATTCGGGCTCAGGAGGTACTTCACCGCCCAGTGCAGCAGCGACGCCGCCACTCGGAACCGGCTGAGATCCTGCAGGTTCTGTCCGCTCACCTGGTAGGAGTAGGAGAACGGCGAGCTGTCGCTGTGCACGCTGGGAGTGTTTCTGGTCCGCTTGGGGCTGATCCTGCTGCTGCCGCTGGCCTCCTCGGTTCCGGAGCTTCCGGCCTGAGAGTCGAAGAGCCACGACGGAGGACTGGTGCTGAGCTCCTCCTCCACCAGCGTGCTCAGAGCTTCGGGCGACGGATCGCTTCGCTTCCTCTTCGCCTTCCTGGGTTTCTCCTCCGTTTCGTTGCCGTCCTGCTCCACGGCGAGGAGGTTCTGGCGTCCCGTGGAGGCTCCGTCTGGAGGACTGGATGAGGACGAAGCAGCAGCAGTGGAGACGAAGCCGCTCGGCTGGTTCTGGTACGCCGGGAGGAAGCTGGACTCGCTGGAGACGGCTGCAGCGTCTGTGGTTGGTGGTGGTGGTGGTGGTGTAGCTTCTGGGGAGGTCGAAGAAGAGGAGATGCACAGAGGAGGAAATATGTCCCAGGGGTTGGAGAGAGACTCCTCCATCACCTCCTCCACCAGTAAGGGTGAGCTCTGGGTGGAATCCATCTGCTGCTCATCACCTGAAAGCTCCTCCGGTATGAGGAGACACCTCATGGGGACGCTGAAAGGCTCCTCCCCCTTATATGTGACTCTGTCCAGGTCCCAGCCGGTGGTGTGGAGGCCCAGCGGGGTCGAGGTGGAGGGTTTAGGGCTCAGTCTGACCCGGATGTCCTGCAGCAGCTCCTGCAGACAGTCGTGCCGCCACTCGCCCAGCAGCTCGGAGAGCTCGAACCCACACTGGCTCCTCTGCGACTCCTCGCGGCCCAGCAGCGCCCTCCACGTCTGGCAGATCTTCACCCGGACCGAGCTCAGCGTGGTGCAGCAGGGCGTGTTGTCCTTCAGCGGGCCGGCGGCCGTCGTCGCCAGCTCGCCGACCGACAGGAAGAACCTGCACCGGGTCTGCTCCGGCGCCATGTGGAAGAGCAGCCGGTAGTCCTGGATGCACACGGTGGTGTTGAGCAGGCTGGAGAAGCTCTCGCGGTCCTCCTGCTCCTGGAGAAGCTCCCAGGCGGCGGCGGTGAGGACGGCCGGGATCTGGAGCTGCCCGTCGGACAGGTAGAGCAGCCCGGTGGGGCCCTCGGAGCTCCAGGGCTGAGCCTGGGACAGAGACAACTGCCCCACCCCGATGACGTGAGCCCTCAGCTGGCCGCCGCTGCTCCTGCCACCCTGCTGCTCCTCGTCATCCTCCTCCGGGACGCTGTAGCTCAGGATCAGACTCTCGATCCACGGAGTCAGTCGGCCGCGAGCCGGCCGAGGCATGTTGGGACGATCAGGCTGTTCGTCTCCAGTTAGAGTCCGTCAGTGGTTCCTCCATCACAACATGACTGAGGGAGAAAAGACAACATCCAGTAGTCACTAGAAAACAATAAATAATAATAAAAACGAGCAAAGCAAGAACACTTCAGCAGCTTAGGACTTTAACTTAGAGTCCACACTGAAGCTGGGTCTGAATTTACATGTTCTGATCCAGGATTTAAGGGAAAAGATGTTAAAGAACAAAACAACCAATAAAATCTGACTTGTCTTTTAAAGAGTATTTAGTCTCTATTAGAAAATCTGGTGCATGTCGTGGTTTTAGATCAGAAGCTTTTAAAGACTCTTCAGCCTCTCAGGGGGAATCTAGTCCACATCTGACCAGCTTATGTTTGGTGATTTTAGATCTGGAACTGGTCTAATGTGGTCTACGAGCCAAAAAACCCCAAAACAAAACAAACAAACAAACAAACAAACAAACAAACAGTGAAATCAAAGAGAATAAAGGTTTAACAAGTCAGAAACTGTTCTTTGAAGAGTTTTTAGCCTCTCTGGGACAACCTCGTCCAGATTTGAGTAGTGGTCGTGGTTTTATAACTGGACCTGGTCTTATGTGGTCCACATGTGACAAAAACAACACAGAAATCTCCATTTTCAGGCATTTTTACAAACTGAGTGAAGGTTTTAGGTTTTAAACTATCTCTAGCCTCTGCAGGACGATGGACTCCCAGTTTAACCAGTCAATATATAGTAGTTGTTGATCTGGACCTGGTCTACTGTGGTCCAGTTGCAAAAGAATTCAAACAAACAAATGCAATGAAATCTTTCTTTTTTGCATCTTCATGAACAGAATAAAGGTTTTACCATTTTGAAACTGTATTTTAGGGGATCTTTAGCCTCTCAGGAACGATCTAGTCCAGATGTGACCAGTCAGTATATGGATTTAGTGGGTCTGGATCTCGTCTACTGTGGTCCAGTCGCAAACAAAACAAAGCTCCCTTTTGTTGCGTTTTCACGTATAGAACAAACTGTGTTTCAAAGACTCTTTAGCCTCTGTAGGACCCTCTAGTCTAGATTTGACCGGTTTATATATTCTAGCTTTAGATCTAATCCTGGTCTAATGTCTACATGCAAAAAAAGCACAGAAGTCTCATTTTTAGGGCATTTTCACAAACATATAAAAGTTTCACCAATTAGAAACTGTATTTTAATAACTCTTTAGCCTCTTAGGAACAATCTAGTCTAGATTTGACCCGTCCTTGTAAAGTGGTTTCAGATCTGAACTTGGTCTAATGTGGACACAAATCTTCCTTTTCTGGATTTTCACAAATACAATAAAACTTTCACAAATGAGAAGCTGTGTTTTAACTGAGCTTTAGCCTCTGTGGCATAACTTAGCCCATATTTGATCCATCTATATAGAGCTGTTCCAGACACAGACCTGGTCTAATGTGGTCTACTTGTGGAAAAAGGACTAAAATCAAACAGAATAAAGGATTCACAGATTATAAATTGTGCTTTAAAGACTTTTTGGCACCTGAGGGACAATCTGGTGCAGATCTGACAAGTCCCTATATAGTGGTTTTAGATCTGGACCTGGTGAACTGGGTTTTAAAGACTCTGCAGCCTCTCAGGGAGAATCTAATCCAGATCTGACCATCTACATGTAGTGGATTTAGATCTGGACTTGGCTAAATGTGGTCTACTTGTTTTTAAATAAAAGCAGTACAATATCAATCCTTTGCATTGTTCCACATGGACTGAAGGTTTCACAAAGACAGAAGTGGGTTTCAGGCAGCACTGAGTGTTTACCTGAAGTGTTGAACAGAACCTCTAGAACAGAACCAGAAGCTAACTGTCTCCTGTTAGCAGCAGCGATGCTAACTCCGGGTTAGCTAGCATAGCACGACAACGGCGAAGCTCAAATGAGAAGTCCGTGTTGTTACCTTTATGAAATCCCGCTAAAACAAACAGAATTAAACGTTTATCCAAAGACAGCCTGTGTGTTTTCCACCTGTGGTGTAAAGTTACGGCGGCAAAGTCAAGTTACCGAGAAAAAAACAGTAACTAGATCCGTTTCTTTCAAATTTAAAAGCGCAATCGTTCAATTTTAAACTCCTGTACAGACCAGTTTCACCACAAAAACATACGATACAAAATTATATGTATTAGTTTACTAATATAGTCGGTTTATTTAGATAATTTACAATATTTAAAGTATAAAAACGCGATACTAACTAGTGAGAGCTTTTACTGACAGCGGAAGTACTCTTCGGCTGCACTCTGCATTTGGCGGAAGTTGATTTAAAAGCGGCCGTGTTCCGTTTCTTTCTAACGCTCGCTTCTCGTAATTATTTTGAAATATCTACAAGTAAATACAGACTTTTTCCTCTTTTTTTCCTCTAGTTTTTGTACACAAACTAAACAAATATCGCCACAAAACGAAGAACATATGTTCAGCATGTACTCTTTTAAAATTTCAGTCGATTCAGAGGTTGCCAGTAAACTGTTGGAACACTGTTTATGTACACACTTTCCGCCTAGCTGGTGATGCGTTCAGGTAACCCAGCAAAAGTACAACGAACACTGTACATAAATATATTTGTTTGTATTTATCCAGATTAGTATCCCCCGTATAAGTAATACATTATTCATATCAGCGATTTAACCTTCGATTTATAGTAATATTTTTATTTAACCAATATATTTCTTCTGGTTGGAAACAACATAAACAAAAAACAAAACGGGGTAAGACAGCGTGTTAGAGATGTTGGCAATAAGTTTTAACTATTACTTGGTTATTTTTAGTTTTTTACACACAAAAAAAATCTTATAAATCGGTATAAATCTTTTTGGAGATATTTTCTAAAATATATTTTTAAAAACAAAAATAAAAAAATACAGAAATAGTTTAAATTCAATGTCTTACTGAGTTTAATTTTTTTGTTTTTTTGGTCGCTTTTTTCGCTTTTTATGTAATTTCCAGCCAAAAGAAACCTGATGTCAAGTTAATTTATTGAGCCAAACTTTAGGGTGTGTAAGAATAATTTGGGGTCTAATTGTGATTATATATTCACACCAGACTTCTTATTTACCACATCGCCTTCTTGTCTTTGAACGCAGCCCAGTACATGCCTTGACGTCCACTTCCAACATTTCTCGCCCGGAGTGATTCATGTTGCCCTGAGTGCAGACAGGTACACCCTGTGCCCAGAAACAGCAAAGACAATTCACAATCTTCAGGTAAGTCACCGAAAAAACAGGAATTGTTCACATTATTAACGTGACACAACTAGTTTGACCCTTTGTAAACATGCAGGGCATGGCTCAAGCCTGTGTTACTGTGTTGTTTTCCTCATTTCCAGTCTATTTTTCATGTAAATGAAGCCAACGGAACCTGTTTAATTGTTGAATTGTCAGCATTAATGGTGACGTTATGCTGTCTTTGTCGAAGGTACTGTTGTTTACCGACATGTCTGCTGTTTTGCTGCTAGCTTAGCCTTCTCTTGCCAAACTTCATTTAGAAATCTGTCAGTTTAAGAAGTTTCGACTCGGTACAGTGACACAAGCCACTTGGGAAATTAAGTCATTCGTGTCACGAATTTTCTAGTTTTTCCACAACATTCGTCACCGAAATGATTCACCAAGCAGTGTCTTATACTGTCATTGTGTTTACATTTGGTGAAGGCAGCCCGCTAATGTGCGCTGTGCAAGAGGAGGGCTAGCTAGCTACAGAAGTAGCCTGTTAAAGCTATTTTTTATCCAAACAAATATCTTGGGTTGTCTTTTGTTAAGGCCGAATTGAAGAATCTAACCTATTAATTTGTTTGATATAATAAATGATGCTTCATTTTGACTCCAAGATTAATAATGAGCTGTAAGCCATAATTGAGAAGCATTATTAATGAAGTTCAGCCTCTCTGTTGACAAGCTTAGACATGCCCAAAGAGGCACTGTTCTCTCCTGTTAAGCCATTTTTTCAAATCCAAATAAGCTTTTTGTGTTGACTTTTGTGCCAGCCAAATTGAAGAATACATCCTGTTAATTTGTTTAATGTATTAAACTGTGTTTTTAAGTGACTGCAGTTTTTATAATAATCTCTAGAACATAATTAGAGATATTTTTGAGGAACTTCAGTTTGATATAATTTGCTGACAGTATGTTTTCAGACTTAGACATGCTTAAAAAAGGTATTTCCCCATCTGTTAAAGCCATTTTTATCCAAAAAAGTGTTTTATGTTGACTTTTGTGCCAGCTGACTAGAAGACCGCACCCTGTTAATTTGTTTAATGCCTTTTAATTGTGTTTTATTGTGAAATCCAGTTTGATATTGAGCTGCAGAATATAATTAGGAGATATTTTTTCTGAAACTTCAGCTTGATATTCTTTGATGACAATATTTTATTCATGCTTAGACATGCCCGAAAATGCACTTGTTCCTTCTGTTGAAGACATTTTTTTCTTCAAATAAGTGTTTTGTTTTGGCTTTTTGTGCAACTTAAATGAAAGACTGCACCCTGTTAATATACTAAATACCTTAGATTGTGTTTTATTGTGAACTTCAGGTGATATTGAGCTACAGAACATTATTATGAGATATTTTTAAGGAATTCAGCTCTGTTTACATTATGCTTTAGGGCGCAGACGTGCCTGAAAATGCACAGTTGACTCCTGTTAAAGCAGTTTTTTAGACAAATAGCTGCTTTGTTTTGATTTCTTGGAAAGCTCAGTTGAAGATTGTATTTGCTTCATGCATTAAATTGTCTTTGTGACCCCAAGTTTGATTATGAGCTGTATAGATGTTTTTCTTGAAGAGGTTAAACCCGGCGTTCTCTCTTGACAGCACGTTTTCGGGCGCAGACATGCCCGACTCTGCATCCAATGAGCCCGGATCGAAGGTTTCGGACCCTCAGCATTCCCAGAAACTCCTCAGGGTCCTTCGCACCTTCTGGCAGGAGCAGAGTTTCCACGATGCGCTGCTGGTGGTGGATGGAGAGGAGCTTCCTGTGCAGAAAAACATCCTGGCCGCTGCCAGCCCTTATATCAGGTCAGAGAATTTAGCGGTTTGGCTTCAGCAACCCAAATTTAATTATGTATTTGGTATCTGCTGTTTATAGTGATACAGCAACACGGGCGTGTCCACTTTGACTAACGTTACAGCTCCGAGTCGGTCTATATTTAATTGTCGCGCCCTGTCGTGCTAATTAACGTGGTTATTTGCTGTTAGGACCAAGCTGAACTACAACCCTCCTAAAGAAGACGGGTCCACGTACAGAATCGAGCTGCAGGGCGTCTCCATGGCGATCATGAAGCAGATCCTGGACTACATCTTCAGTGGCGAGGTGAGTTTGGACTTCAGGTTAGATCAAATTAAGTGTCACGTGATTGTAAAGTGCACCATGTCAGAGTGACTGCTGTGAAACTGAAGAGTACTTTTTGGATTTTTTTAAACAGACTCCAGAGTAGGAACTCAGAGTCAGCGCACCTTTCATCACTGAGATTCTGACCTGTAGCTTATATTTATTTTTATTTTATTTCTATTCCACCTTTATGTTTTATTCCACACTCAGTCCTCTGTACTTCGGAGACTGTTTTTTTTTTTTTCAGCTGTTTTTTGCTTCAGGGGTTGTTTTGCTCTACTTTTCTCTTCAAAATACCCGGAAGGCGTTTTATCGAATTCAAGTCAGGACGCATCCTTGTCCAGGTAGCAGTTTGCACTTTTTCCTTCTTTAGAAACTGAGCTGTGAGTTTGTTCTTTGGATGCTTCTGCAGACTGGGAGTCGTCTGGTCAGCCAGTGTTTTGGTTTATCCTCAGACATTCATCTATAAATATCATCTC